TCTCTCTCTCTCTCTCTCTCTCTCTCTCTCTCTCTCTCCCTCCCTTCCTTCCTTCCCTCTCTCTTTCCCTAGATACTTACGCATGCCCCACTTCCCAGTCTTCGGGTTGATGTAGTTAGGATACATTCCGTTCGGCTTCGGTGCTTCGCGAAGGAAGTCTCGGATTTTCAGCACCTAGGCGCAAAAAAAAAAACACAGAGAAAAAAACATGGGTCACACGAGTTATGCACTGACGCGATATCAAAAGTGCGTCCTCCCAAATCTATAAGATGAAAAAAAAATACAAAGAGAAGAATCGCCGGTCTGAAACGCGATATCAAAAGTGGGCCCCTCAAAACGAACGAGCGTTCGCGAAACGAACAGCGAACGTGCAAAAAACACTTACGAGGCGATGACGAAACCAATAAGAGAGCAACAAAACGGTGCGCAGATCTATCAACGCTGCCGTCGGAGGGCCCACCAGGGGGCACCGCTGTGAACCGGCAAATTTTTTTTGGTACGGAAGATTTACCTTGTCCAGGTATTTGCGATCGCCGGTCACCTGCGTCAGGTGGGCAAACTCCAGGTGTAGAGTTCCGAATTCCGCCAGTATAGAGGAACCGCCGGAAGCCCAGCCCCAGTTCCGGCCCGTCCCCCTAGCAACGAGAAGAGGAGTTGTCATTACCATGGCAACGAGAAGAAGCGTAGCCATTACAGCAGCAATGACGATGACGACACGGTGTGCAATTTTTTTTATTCCTGATTGGATTTATTTGATTGGATTTGGTTTTTGTTCGATTGGGTTGGGATTGGACTTCGATTTAATTGGATTGGATTGATTTTGATTGGATTGCAATAGATTTGACTCGGATATTAGATTTGGGATGAATCTTAGCCGTGAAGATAGGAGATGGATGTCCATGTTAGGATTATGTGATCGAGACCTCTCTCACAGAGCACGCATGCGGTGAGGCGAGGCGAGGGAAAGAGTTAAACCAACGTGCTATCAATATACTGCTAGTTAGTTACCTCTCTATCTCCATCTATGCATCTATCTATCCATCTATCCATCTATCCATCTCCATCCATCCATCCATGCCATCCATCCATCCATCCATCCATGCTCATCCATCCATCCATGCCATCCATCCATCCAGTCCATCCATCCATCCATGCCATCCATCCATTCATCCATCCATACATTCGCATACCATGCCATCGCATCCATCGCTCCATCCATCGCATCCATCCATCATCCCATCCATATCCATCCATCGCATCCATCCATCCATTCCATCCATCCATCGCATCCATCCATCCTATCATCCATCCATCGATCCATCCATCCATGCATCCATCCATCCATCCATACCATCCATCCATCGCATCCATCGCATCCATGGCCAATCCATCCATCATCCATCCATACTATCTACTTCTATCGGTCTATCTACATCTATCTCTCTATCTATCTATCTATCTATCTATCTATCTATCTATCTATCTATGCTATTCTATCTATCTATCTATCTATTATCTATTATCTATCTATTCTATCTATCTGAACTATTCTATCTATCTATCTAATCTATCTTATCTATCTATCTGGATCTATCTAGTCTATCTATCTAATGCTATCTATTCTATCTATCTAATCTAATCTATTCTATGCATATCTAATCTATGTATATTTATCTAATATTATGCTTATCTATCTATCTATGCTATCTTATCTATCTATCTATCTACTCTATCCTATGTATTATATCTATCTATCTATCTATACTATCTATCTATCTTATCTATCTATCTATCTACTATGCTATCTATCTATCTATTATCGGTTATTATCTACTATCTATCTATCTATTATCTATCTATCATCTCTATCTATCTATCTATCTATGCTATGCTATCCTATCTATCTATGCTATCTATCTATCTATCTAATCTATCTCTCTATCTATCTATCTATCTATTCCATCTCTCTCTCCTCGTCTCTCAGTTCCTCTCAGTCTCTCAGTCCTCTCAGGCTCCTCTCATCTCTCTTCTCTCTCATCTCCTCTCGTCTGTCTGTCTCTCTCGGTCTCTCATTCGCTCCTCTCTCCTTCTCTCTCTTTTCTCTCTTCTCTTCTCTCTCTCCTCTCTCTCTCTCTCTCGTCTCGTGTCTGTTCTCTCTCATCTCGTCGCGCTCTCTCTTTCTTTCTCTCTCTCTCCTCTCATCTCATCTCCTCTCATCTCTCGTCTCAGTCTCTCCCTTCTCTCTCCCTCTCTCTCCTCTCTCTCTCTCTCTCTCTCTCTCCCTCTCTCTCCGTCAACTCTTGCCGCACTTACATAAACTTAAACGAACTGTCATCCGTCATCGGCGCATTTAGGGGCCGAACGTAACGTCGCATAGTTGCCAGCAAGTTTACGTTATCTTCAAACTAGTTCAAGGCCAGTTTTATCGGGTCGAGTATTTTCAGGATGTGTCTAGTGGCGCGAGTAATGGGTAGCGTTTATGTGAAAGAACAACGAACACAGAGAACGCAATGATTCATGAGGAAACCTCCACAGACGTACGAGCCTCGTGGGTAAATCTGCGATCGAGTCAGTTTAACAGATGTGTTAGCACGTGCTAGAAAGTTAAGGAGAGAGGAGAGCGCGGGGTGGGGGGTGCAAAGGAAGTAGGAGAGGGAGAGGAATAGAGGAGATTTATATAGAGGAGAAGATGAGAGAGAGAGAGAGAGACAGAGAAGAGAGTAGAGAGAGAGAGAGAGAGAGAGAGAGCGGGAGAGAGAGAGAGAAGAGAGAGAGAGAGAGAGAGAGAGGAGAGAGAGGAGAGAGAGAGAAAGAGAGAGAGAGAAAGAGAAGAGAGAGAGAGAGATGAGAGAGAGAGAGAGATGAGAAGAGAGAGAGATAGAGAGAGAGGGAGAAAGAGAGGAGAGAGAGAGAAATAAAAAAAAGAGAGACAAAGAGAGAGAGAGACGAGGAGGAAGAACTAAGCAGGATGAGGAGAGAGAAGAGAAGAGAGAGGAGAGAGAGAAGAGAAGGAAAGAGAGAGAGAGAGAGAGAGAGAAGAAGAGAGAGAGAGAGAGGAGAGAGAGAGAGAAGACAGAGAGAGGAGAGAGAAGAGAGAAGAGAGAGAGAGAGAGAGAGGAAAGAGAGAGAAGAGGAGAGAGAGAGGAGAAAAGAGAGAGAGAGAGAGAGAGAGAGAAGAGAGAGAGAGAGAAGGGAGAGAGAGAGATGAATCAAATTGAGAAAGATATGGGAAGAGTGGAGTGAATACAAAAAAAACCACGCAGCGGTGTGTAGACTGGCGCTTACGTTTTCAGGTTGATCATCGCATAGGGGATGCCAGAGGGAGAGAGTTGGAAAAATTGCCCGTGGCAACAGTCGGTCGGCAATCTCAATAGCCTTCTGTTTGAACATCTGAAACATGAAGAAAAGAAACATGAATGTGTGTGTGTGCGTGCGTGCGTGCGTGTGTGTGTGTGCATGTATGTGTGTGTGCGTGCATGCATGCGTGCGTGAGTGTGTATGTATGTGTGTGTGTGTGCATGCATGCGTGAGTGTGTATGTATGCTTGTGTGCATCCGTGCATACATGCATGAGTGTGTGTACGTGCGTGAGTGTGTATGTATGTGTGCATGCGTTCATGCATGCGTGAGTGTGTATGTATGTGTGTGTGTGCATGCATGCGTGAGTGTGTTGTATGTGTGTGCATGCATGCGTGAATGTGTATGTATGTGTGTGTACGTGCATGCATGCGTGAGTGTGTATGTATGCTTGTGTGCATCCGTGCATACATGCATGAGTGCGTGTGTATGTATGTGTGTGTGCATGCGTGAGTGTGTATGTATGTGTGTGTACGTGCATGCATGAGTGTGTATGTATGTGTGTGTGCATGCAGCGTCCGCTGGGTGAGTTTGTATGTATGTTGTGTGTGCATCGTGAATTGCATCCATGAGTGCGTGTGTACCGTGCGTGAGATGTGCATGCAATGCATTGTGTGTGTGCGAATGCAAATGCAGAGTGCAGTGTGTACTGTGTTGTGTGTGTGTGTGTGTATCTATGTGTGTGTGTGTGTGCATGCATGCGTGAGTGTGTATGTATGGGTGCCGCACGCATGTTGTTGCGTATTACCGCTACTCATGCAAGTTTCTATGCACGTGCATCCGGTGAGCTACACACA